GAAAAAGTTTGGTGACAAAAGACGTGCAGACTGAAAAATTGGTCGAGTTTTGCAGCACGACACTGAGAGGTCGTCGCATAACATTTATTTGAGGGGACCGCGTCGAGTGGGTCGTAAATTAAAAAGTAATACCTCGAGTTGTGCCACTTTTAGCCTAATTGGTACACTACCCTGCACATATAAGAATATCAACTCATTCGAAAACGTGTGGAGAATTACAAGAAAGTTAAAATACAACTGCAACAGAGGTTTCAATGGTGAGTGGATAGAAAACAGTAGTCGTGGATGCATGGCGGGATTCGAAAACAAGGCTCCTGAAGATTGCAATACATTGTACTTGAACCTGATATCACTCAAAAAGCATTTATTTGTAAAAGAAGATAGTTTATAACGAGAATTTCTCATTTATAGTACTAATCGAATGAAAATGCTCTCTTATGTTCCAGTCATAACGATATTCAAGAGACTGAAACTAGTTATAAAGTCTGGGTAAACTGCTGAGCGGCCTACAGCCTGTTTCACCTTGGTTGAGGTTCATCAAATAGGTCAACTCTCTGAATCTTTTCTGCCGATTTTTCGTTGCAATTGGATGCGCTTTCCGGTAAACACTCCACCCACTCACCCACACATGCACACCGTTCAAGCGTTTTCACTGACCTTAACCTTGGAAGTCCACCGTGGATAGATAACCAAATTTGACTACAAACACAGCGAAAAGTTACGATCGCTTGGTTCTTGTTTTTTTCTCTGAGCTTGGTTTTCGGATTTCCAACGGTTCATCACCAACCAGGGATGTCAGGGTATAATGACGACATCATATTGATTGGCACCACACTGCTCGCAAACAACTTGCCAATCCGGGAAAACTAATCAATCACAATCGCGATCTAAGTAAGCTCAACTGAAACCCCAGCTGAACCTCACATTTGTGATGTCATTCAGTTGAATGTGCTACACAAAGGCCACCTCATGTTTCGGTTGGTGCAATATGCTAGATAACGTAGAATATGTTCTTGAAGAAACACTGCTCACAGAGTTGCTGAAAGCTCTCGAACAGCCAATACAGGTTTCGCGCTTCTTAGGGCTCATCAAGTAGACGCAATCCCGGAGTTCCTCTTGGATCAAAACTCGCGAAATACCCTCATTTGGACAGTGATTTGCCTTTTAACTGGAGACACCTGAGTCCCTCGTCTAAAATGCTCTCCAAATTAGTATGGAAATGATGCACTCCACCAGCTGGGTACAGTTTGGTGCTTAAGTAGAACCCGACGAGTGCGCCTATGAGATGAGCTCCAAAACGTGTGAAACTTGTCGTGTCCCGTCACAGAGTCGTAAACAATCTTACGACTAATGTGTTTGTGTGTGGGGTTTTGTATGTGTTCGGCCATCACCGGCTTCAGGGATATCGTACAAGTCTTTTCGCCACTTCTGAAACTAATAACTACTCTCATGATAAGATGACGGGTTGCCTCATCATGACTTTCCATCTCAAATTCATCCGAATCGGACGGGTGGCCTGGTTGATATGGCGTACCAACTGTGTGTCCCTCGTAGAGCTCCAAACGTCACCATTGTTTTTCACCATCTCTGGGGTAGGAAGGACATAGCGCGTGATAACACGTAACTCCACGAGGACGCACTGTAGTATTGCCGTGACTGTCATCAAGTTCTCAGTGCGTACGAGATAATGTTGCTGAGCTTAACCATAAAGGCACTGCCAAAGACATGCTCATCGTATTGCACAGCTGGATTCGTTCAGTACACTATGTAATGGGCACCTGAGCAGAGAGGTAAATCGAAAATGATGATCAGGCGAGAGATTCAAGCTGATTAGCTTTCGGGTCAGGGAACCTGGGGAGCGTTAGAAATGTTATCATTACATACTAAACGATTATCTTGTGCAAGTTGGAGGAAGTTGGTTTTATCCTGGCAGGACATCACTAGCGAACCAGTTTAGAAACTGCTTCATCGTGGAGACCGTGTGTACTGAGTACTTCCGTCCTTGTTTGGTTACGTGAACTGTTTGTCAACCAACCAACCAACCATCCAAAAGGTGTAGAAACTATGCGTAGGAATGAATTTTATTCGCAATTCATGTGTTCCGCTTTTGTTCGCTTTATACAACAGTTATCAACCGGAATAAAAGTTATAATCATAGTTCCTTAATTGACCCGAAGCCTAAACAAGCCCATCAAAGTGTGTTCTCCAAAACAAGGGTTAGATAATTCCCAGCATGCTCAGTATTGCAAATACATTTCAACTTAATCAGAACGAAGATTCCAGATCCGAACAACAGTTGGTTTGAGATGGATTAATCGGCGAAATGGTCAGAAAAATTTAATATTTGTAAGCAGGGTCAGGTAACTGGAGAACGGTTGGTTCAGTGAAACATCGTGGACAAGGGTCGCAGAGAATGCCAAGTTGCACCTACGTCATCTTTTGGAACCCGAGCTTTACGGCGTTGTCACCACGTATGACTACACCAGCTGCTTGACTAAAGTGGCGCTCAGATCAAGCCGTTGATGCGACATATAATACGACATGTCAATAAAGTAATAACTGGTGTGTTCAGACGTTCGGTAATCGAATCTTTACTGTGGACCTGTTAGCATCAGTAACCAGTAAACCAATCAACGAGTGGGTTGAAAATGGAATACACCACTTCGCCACAATCCCGGAGCTACTTCGACGACCATGGCGATTTTCGGATAAAAAGTTGACGCCGATCAGCTGGCGGTTGTGCATGTGTCCACACGTAACTCCACCAGGACGCAATGGAGTATTGTCGTGTGGCTGTTATCAAGTGCTCAGTGGGTACCCGATAATGTTGCCGATCTTAACCATAATGGCACCACTAAAGACATGTCTATCGTATTGCACAGCTGGATTCGTTCAGTACGCTACGTAATGGGCACCTAAGTGGAGTTAAATCGAAAATGATCCACCCAATTCTACAGTCACCAATCCTAAACAGGAATGAAACAGTTGTACAGTACTTCTCGGCTTCTCAGCATGGATTGGTTTCACTAAAAAGAAGAAATTTCCATTGAAAATCAACAAATCTGGTCATATCGCCACCAAAAAAGTGCATATCCCAACTAAAATGGGCTGAGAAAACAATAAATCAATCGCAATGATAGTAATCCACGTACTATATCCAATGCACCGGATTCAAGTCGCATATCCAAACACGAATAGACAAACCGGACAGTGCTAGCCAGCTAATGCAATTAGGCGATGAAGAAAATTAGAGGATCTCAAAAATCGGTTGTTTTTGTAGAAAAAGGATATCTCTTCGACAAACGGGAGTGAAGATTACTACGGCTACAGTGCAGAAAGACGCCCCGTAGATCACGTAGAATGTGATCACTGTGAGTTAGTGAAACAAAAGTGTTACTGCCATCAAAAGTGTGTTTATTTATTTCACTGAAATGATCTAGGTGCGGCATAACGGTCATCACTCATGTGGTCAGAATAACCGCAGTGCACTTGAAATGTCGGTTCTTCCGTTAACAAAGAGGCTATCAGGAACACATGTACGTCTAAATTGTTTACCTCATGGAACGGTAACAAGGATTCAAGGGTTAGTTCAGACTTTGACAAGACCGCTAGGCGATATAAGCAACAGTGAACTCAGTAAACATCCGGAATACGACAAACAGACAACTATTTTCGCTCATTTGATAAAAATTAAGTTCAATGCAGTTTATCAGCTATAAACCAGCTGTACTTTGATTCCAGTGGCTAGTTTCAGTCACCAGGAAATGAGAGGTGTGAGATATGGCTAGGTATTATGGGCGATGACATAATCAGTCAGTTCGTATTGGATCAATCGCGTAATTCTCCGAAAAGTTGGTAGCTACGCACTGAAGACAATAACCTCGAAGAATCGGCAGTAACTACGAGATTGAGCCAATGACATGAGCTGAGCCTCGACGGCAGTTTTTGACCCTACTGAATTTACCGGTGAATGCTTTCATAGTTCGTTTCCAGGTTAGAGACTGCCCTCTCGCAAACTACTGTCAGAGACCACCTTGAATTCTACAAAACCAGACCAACTACACGATGGTTTTCACATGACGTTCCTTCGCCCCTTTTTGAATCACGATCAAAGTGTTTCGTCCGACTGGTATTGTTTTCACCTCAAATCTTTCGTAATAGGGCTGTCATTGTACTAACCAAAAATCAATCAAATCGTCCAGCTGTAGCACTCTTTCGGTTCCTAACTGCCATGCCACCCCATGGTTGCACGAGGGCTGGGATACTGTTAGGTTGCCCAAGCCTAGACAGGGCTCCACTAGCTTTGAAAAGTGTAGGTTGATTAGATAACTTATAAAACGTTACCTTAGTCTGGTCATTAGTGCACACAAGCAGTACCGTTGCTCATTCAAACGATTAGTTTGATAGAATGAAAATGGTCAATAACGGAGAAGCCTTACTAGGACACTCAGCCATTTGGACTGATTCGTTCGATAGAAAACTGTCTTCTTGCGAGGAAATAGAAGTCATAAATTGATTTAGATCTACTTCAAGCATATCTGCCAATATGCCCAATAGTATCGCCTCAGAGCCAGGGGTTCACAATAACTTCAAATGGTTTAGACTCAACCGGTTGATACACATCTACATACGCCTGCCTTCAATGTTTGTTTCGCAATCTAATTCATCCTAGGAAGTCTACAGCCTAAATCACGCTAGGGTTCCCGGGGTATTGCACTTGACCGTGAGCAGATTAATGGGACACGTGCCTCAGTGCTGATCACCATTGTGACAGAGAGGAGTGATGGGGCAGTTGATGAAGAGGACTTATTCGCTTCCAAGAAAACTGCAGGGAAGAGTAGAGGAGAGTGTTGGTAGCTCAAGTAGCTTATTCGCTGAACAAGCCAACGACCAGAGTTCATCCTATTATCAGACTCGACACGGTGCCTTCAGTATAACAATCCAGCACTCACAGCGACAACCATCCAAATAATGAGTTAAAAATTTCAGGGGCGACTTACCTCCATTGTCAAACCGTGACCGCGAATGAAGAAACCACCAAAGAGAATGCGTGTCAGATTGTGTTGTTTTGCATACAAACAAGCTAGCTGTCCAATATTACTAAAAGGGTAGAAATAACATTCGCATGATGAGTGGTCCATCAGTAGGTGGGAATTCCCTAATTTTTCAGGATGCTGGCTTCCACACCTCTACCCCAGTAGAGTAAGGAAACCTTAGGACGAAAGGACAAAGAGTACATTGTAAAGTTGCAACACAGGAGATATGCACGATCAAAAATATGTCGCCAGATATAAACTCTAAGCAGGCTTTCACAGCACCCACGAATACAAACTTAAACCAATGAGTGTGAGGACAGGATAAAAATGGCATTAACAAAGAGGAATGAGCCCTCGAGAAAGACCGAAAACGTTCATCCTCATGGACAGAAGCAAGACCATCACTGCGGACAAACTATGACGAGGGATAATATTCGAAACTTTATTTGACGCCACAAGGGGGTGAGAGCAATAAGGAGACAAAAAAGCGAGAAAGCTACCGGTAACCGAGTACCTGATTGAAGAGGGTCGTTCACGTTATGTAGATATCAACTGCATGCTTGTAACTTAACAAGCCAAACACAATACGCAGAAGGTACTCTCTCACTCATCAATGCGGTGCATGCGGAGTCTGAAACTTCGGATCCGGGATAGTGCGGTGGCCTGCTCAGACTACTCACAAATTCCATCCGAACGAACCGAGAACCCGCCAATCATATTTGGTTTGATTGTTTGCGCTATGCAATGACTGCGGCCACTGCAGATGCCACAGCTCGCACTGACGGACGGTGAAGGTAAAATTGAGTCCGCGCGAGAACTCATGCACAGGCGAGTTCAATTGTAAGACCGTAAACTTACGAATGGTAGCGTTAGTTTAAGTACATAGGGCCTCTGTGGGATATACAAGGAGGACGAAAACCTTACATGACCTGTGGAGTGTCCTAATCCTATCATACCAATCACGGGCAGCAACAAAACAGTAATGAACACTTGTGCCTAACTGTCATACAACCATGAAGGCCTTGGTAAACGAAAATGAATGGGGGGAAGGAGACCCTGATTAGTGATAGCTGAGTCCCACAAAGAACAGGTCACGATGTCGGATGTTGATAATCTCCAGATGACTTGCAAAAATATGAACACCTACGGAAATTACATTGCGAACTCCACACGTATGTACAAAACGAATGCTTGTTGCTGCTCTAAGATCCGACCCCGCTGGAACCAAAACTTCTACCTGGTTGGACAGTAGTCACTTTCTGGACGCATAAGTCATTCGGATAGGGGGGGGCTAGATACGCAAAGGCTCACGTTGCCGAAACCAGAAGAGAATTCGCTCTCAAGACGTTATCGTTTGTCGATAAACAGATACAAACATCAGTTGAAAAGCAAAAGAATGAATTGGTTCCATCAGAAGTAAACTTACTTGCTCACAGCAATGAGTAGGGACTTTAATATATCCGCTGAACATCGCGGATTATCGGGTGACCGAGCTGCGAGACCAAAGGAACTGGCGATCGCGTCTCCAGGCAGACCGAGCAGCGCATAATCTCCACCGTAAATATCACGAACCAGCATGTCCACCTTTCGGTGATCACCCGCGACAGCCAATTCCAATAACTCGTCGAAAGTGTACTTCCCTAGGGATATATATAAATAATATATGTAGCCAAAAATTCGATCGGTGGTGAACAGCCAAAGAAACTTAACAAGTGACGCTGTGTCTGGGAATAACGCTGATCGACAGCACCACACGATAGGTCTTCTTGGAAGTCCGCACCCGGTTACCACAGCACTCACAAGAACTTGAATTAGCTGTACAACTTTCGGAGGTCAGAAATGTGTCCCATACTTTGCAGATTACCATATTTTAAGGCTGAAATAAGTAAACCGAAGAGCCAAGGCTCGGGTTGGTGTGGATAAACAAGTGGTACCTATGTAAATGGTGAGATACGCTGGATATATCTACATTGAAGTGGATTCAGCGGAGAAAAGATGCTGTCGCTACAAGCAGACTTTACTGAGGGGTTTGAAATCAACACAAAAACGTTCAGTAACCTGGAGCCATTTTAGTGCAAGATTGCCCGATAATAGTTGCTGACAAACTTTTTAGGTTCAGATGTGGTGCGTTGTGGTAAATGATTACAAATAAGGAGGCTAAATTGATATGGTTCACAGAAGGGTCGTACAGTGAACAGGTCATGTGTCTCATGCAGGTATGGATAAAACGATCGAAGTACATAAGGATTCGCGTTGAAATGTGGTACAGGAAATGTCAACTAACATTGGCCGTCGAAAGAATCCCATCGCCACGCCTCAAGAGTTCACATCGAAGGAAGCATGCAGCTCATTCACCAATCATGCGACCTCATTCCCTATAGCCTGGAGCTAATAAGGAGAGTGGTAGATAAAGTGAAAATCTAAACATCAATGAGCAGGCTTTTCCACGGCGGGGCGACAGACACTTACCTCCAGAAAGGGCAGTGCCAAGACCCCAAAAGGTTCCACCTCCAATGGATGATCCACCGAGTCGGGAGTAAGATACGGGGCTTTCCACTTTCAGTATGCTGACACCTGACCCAATGTTGACCAGCAAAAATGGAAAAGTATCCACCAGTGCGTCAGAAACGAACACATGGGCTGGAATTGCATGCTTGTCGTAACGAAATAATTCATCTGGAATATTGCGAAGCATAAAAACACATCCTCGTATCAGACACTCCATTTCGTCCTCTTTGTCAAACTCCACGCCAAGCTCCCGAACAATCAGATCACGAAATCTATAAGCTCCTCCTCCAGTGACTTTGAATCTGAGTAGGGTTCGTGTGCAGTCTCTAGCTGCACCAACACCTGAATCGATATCCAGAATATTTGATCGAATAAAGGCTAAACATTCATTGATACAGCTCGTTTCGAATTTGACAAAACACATTTTTCTTCCTTCATGCTCTCGTTCGCGATAGTCGTAAAAAGGAAAGGAAGGAACTCCATCTTCTGAAGGTGTGTCGGTTTTACGACACGGAAAGGGACAATTGTACCGAAACGTGCGCTCATAAACCAACTTTGCCAAAGAACCGCCAATATCGAGTGCAAAAGGAATACGTGAAACTTTCTGAGGAAACGACTGGCGGCCGTCTCTATAACCGTCTCCTGGGGAAATCATTTGATTTCTCAAAGGATGGTCATTAGGTTGTTACGATTTGGAATAAGCGGCAACTACTATGAAAATACGCTTTGGGGATGATCACTCCATTTGAGATCCAAGGCGATATAGCTGGAGTGGTGGCCCTCGAGTAAGCTGGAAAGGACGATAAATAAAAGCGAGGAAAAGTTGGAAAGGGGATCACCCATGATTTGAAACCACCAAACTAGCTTATAGCTGATCTTCAGGCTAAAATCATCCAATCTAGACATTCGGCTTGCTCCTTGGGGCCGTCTTCTGCCAAAGACGTAAAGAGCGCATGGTCATAGTATTCGGGATCGGAAATACTGATAAGCAAGCTGTTTCAGATTATCTGAAGCAGGGTTCAAGTAAAAGGCTAAAATGAGGATGCTATCCCCGTGAGGCGCTTTCCACAAAAGCAGCAATGTAGTGGTATAACGGGTGCTAACATCATGGTAAACCATTATAACAGATAACAGGGCACGCCGGATTTGTTAAAGGCATTTCTTTTGCGCCGGAGTCATCACCTTCGTTGTACATTCACCCCATCCCCATCTCCCCATGACAGCCTATTCAAAATCAATCCGCCATAACAACTAGAATTATACGGTGAGGATATCGGTTAACGCTAACACCTAGATGTCAACCTCAAATCCATTTAGCGTCAGTGAAGCAAATTGTGGCAAATCATTTCACTTGTTGAAAGCAGATATAACAGCGAATTCTCAGGGATTGAAGGATGAATTTAGAGTCAACCGCTGGGTCATCATCATTAATGTAATAGACAGCACCGTCGATTCTGTCACTGATGCTTTACAACCACAAAGTTCCCTTAATTACATTCAAAGCCTTGGAGTCAAAGGAAAAGAGTGGTGGAGGGAAGGAACCTGGACGGGCCCAAATGTGATTCGAGCCTTCGAGATCCGTGCATCGACCTCATCAGACGCACTCCCGTTAAAGTAACCCCCAGAATTTTCCACTGAATCTTACGGAGTATGACCAAAGGCAGAACGTTCTGAAGCATGCTTCTGTGAGCCTTTGAAAGTGCTAGGCGTATGACGAAAGATGGTATATTGGCTTATTCAAGAGAGCTTGCGCTTTGCATTCGTCGTCCGTGAGGATGATATCCTCTACGTACTTCAGGTCAACAAGGTTACCATCCGTAATAATTTGAGCAGCGGACTCTGGAAGACCCTCCAGCGTTTTCTTCACTATATCAAGTTGAACAAGGAGGGGAAGAGTGGACATTCTTTTAGGACGTCACTTTTTTGCGGAGGAACTTTTAGAGTTCGCAATACAGAAGTATGTGAATACAGAGACCAGATTTTGTTACCAAAATCCTGGGGGCGAGATGGCTCAGTGGTTAGATCGCGAAGTTACCGACCGGAAAGTCCGTGGTTCCAACCCGGCCCCTGCCTCTCGACTTCCCCTATCTAGGCTTGGGCGACCTGACTGTATCCCAGCCTTCGTACTTCCTTCTGGTGGTACGGCAGTTAAGCATCGAAAGGATGCTACAATTGAACGCTACTCTGAGACATGATCTATTGGGCGAGTGTGGTTAAAAGCACAGACAGGTAGAGGGGACAGAATGAACCCTTTAGGTCAAGAAACGCAAGATTGTAACTCATCTGTACATATGGCGTTGCTCAACACCTAACGGAGAGTGATGTGGTCGACGCAGCCTCCATCATGCCGAAATCTCAGTTGCTGCGTACGGGTTAAAAGAATTGTTGCGCCGTCGTAACACGACGAAGAATCAGTGATACCAGAAGCCTTAACACAATAGGAGTCGAGCCAACAACACTATAGTTACCACATTCATTGTGAGTGCCCTTTTTGGAAAAAATAAAAAACTGTCCAGCTGTAAAACCTTTCGGTGCCTAACTCCAATGCCTCACGAGGGAAGCACGAGGGCTGGGATACCAACAGACTCCGGGAGTTGAGAGGTAGTAGTCAGGTTCGAACCACGGACCTTTCGATCAGTAAATTCCCGCTCTAACGACTTCAGCCATCACTTGAGTAAACCCTAAATGATAGGAATCTCCCCTTTGTGTCATTTCACTCGAATCATGTAACTAGCCTCCTGGCAAGCAGAGCCCTGCACTTTGAGCACTTCCATGTTGACCCAGTGTCACATATCGCAGGAAAACAAGTTTGAGAGTAATCTAACTTCACCCAATGCACCGGAATCATACTAGTCCAGACGCTCATTAATATGTCATCGTCTGTAATGCTTGCGAGGTAGGTGTTACGAAACATGTATCTTTCCACAAAGTGCTCGACATCCTGTATGCATTTGCGAACAAAAATCGGACAGGTCTTGTATCATTTTTTTCCAGAAACTGAACATCTCTGTGAAGGATTGCGATTTTAAAGTCATTACGACCAACGATTCTCATAGTGAAGCTGTAAGAGACGTCCTTTAAAAAGTCTTCGTCACGGCAAGGTAAGCACTGCGTAAAGACGAACAGACAGGGCCACTACCAGCGGGTATCTAGATCAGCCATGGTGCATAAGCGAGTTATTTCGTCCACGGAACCTCTCGCCTCCTCCACCACCACCCTTCCTGCTTCGTTCACACAAGCCCAGATCAAACTGGTTGTAAGTGGCATTTACTTCACTACCCTCATCGAAACGGTAGCTCCGATACCTACATTCAGGCTAGTATTGTTCACAAAAACCACTGGCGAATCTACTATTACGCTACAATGGCTTCCACACACTTGCAGAATGTCAGTCAAAGACAGTGTCTTATAAACCTGAACAAACGTGACAATCGGTATTTCCGTGTTAAACCAGAAACAATTGCTCAGCTGCAGCACCCTTTCGGTGCC